GGTAAGAAAGAAAAGCATTCAAGAATCACAGCCTGAAGACAATGTGTTAATTTGGGTCACATGTTTAACTGTGCAGTATTTAAGAATACATCAAGTGACCATAAAACACTTAAGTATGCAGGTATGCTAACATGGACTTTTAAGGTACCTTATAAGAAACCATTAGAATAATCTAATTCATCAGTGTGATGAAGGTATGCATCAATTTCTCGGTATCCTGCATTGAAAAAAACACTTTAATTTGGCAATATCTATAAACTGGAGAAAACACTCTAGATATGCTTTAAATCTCTGGGTAAATGATAGGTTGGGATCAAAGGTTGCACTCAAATGACATGTTGCTTTGAGGTTGTGCTGGAGGAGTTATTTGCATATAGAATGTCAGTTTATTTTCCCCAAGGCTCAGAAGCCCTGCAACTTATCTGCAACAAGAGAATCTTAATTATATTTATATAAACTGTATAACTAGTGCATATGACAATAAACTTAAACTGACCTTATTTTATGTTCAATCCCATATGTAAAGTCTTTGTTCTATTTGATGTACATAAAAAGATATTTAAATCTTTACTTTTATGTCATTCATGGTATAATGAATAATATAGTGAATCTAGTTATGATGAGCTAGATAGTGTTGGGGAACAAGTAGAGGTTAATTCCATGGTGAAAAGTAGAAAGCATAAAGTTTCAGCTGTTCAGCCTTCTTCAGGTGTGAAGAGAGACAGCAAAGTAGCGATAATATAAAGCACAGGAGAACAAAACTTGAAGCAGGTAAGAATGTGTACAGCAGGTGAAAGAGTCCAAATGAATTGAAATCTGGGCAAAAGCTGTGAAATCTGTAATCTGTCCATTAGTTTTTCTCCCTGTTCTTTTAAATGCACATCCCTGTATCCTCATCTTTTACTTTGATTCTATAGAAGTCTACTGTGTTGACTTTGCCGTTGAGAATAGAAATTTTGGAAATAGAAAACGTGTCATAGTGGGGCATTTCTTAGATGTATCTGGTTGCTCTTTTGTGCACTCTTTCAGTATAGCAAAATCTGTTTTTTTAAAGCAGTGAATGATTGAGGAGCCCTGCTTACACATTTACTGGAAAAATCTGAGTGAGTACCTGGCTCATGGGTATAACACCAGTATCCTATCGGGAAATAAACCCCTGAGCTTTTGCTCTGTAATCCTTGCCACTGCTCCATTATGCTGCCTGTTGCTCCTGGTAGTGGTTTTGGACACAAATATTCCTTCCACAAAAAAAAAAATATCTGGGAAGCTCCTAACTGAATGCATCCAGTGTTTCAGTCACTATACCATTCGTTTACAGGTGATACTAATATAGGAGAGAACTGTTGCTGTTTCACACACACATTATCAAATAATACAATCCTGATAAAATAATGAAATGGTAGTCAGCAGGAGAATGTAAACAAACATGCTTGCTTTAAAAACAACAAAGTTTTGGCTGTGGAGCCTTCTTTGGGTGTATTATATTATAACACCCGATGAAGGCTCCACAGCCGAAACATTGTTTCCCTTCTTCTCTTTTCAGCATAGAATAAACCTGTGCTTGTTCCTTTGCAGCCTAGGCGTGCTGATGTAGCTACCTACTTGAACTACTTGCTGTAAAGACGCCTGTTTTCTGTAAATCACCTGACCCGACCAATTGTCAAAACCTCAGTTGAAACCAAAAGTAAGCAGCACGTACAAGGCAGTGTAAACTAGAGTGACTCTTCTCTCGCAGCACAGAAGAAAGACTCTCAAAGATATCAAATGAAAGAACATCACATAAAAATCAGGCACATCTCAGAAGTTCCAAAAGCTGTCATGTTTCTCCAACTAGTTCTACTCTGAGTGCTCAGTAATACTTGTGTGCTTTGTTTTGGAAGTAGAATGAAATAAACCTGATATTTTCAGTTTGATAATAACTTTTACTTTTGGATTATCAGTGTAAGAACTGAAATTACAAAAATTTATACAAAATCCTTTGAGGTGTGCTCATGAAACATACATTTTGAAGTATAATTTATCATGTCTAAAATTAATTTTTAGTTTAGTCTTGGACATATAATGCTTATTTCTAATTAATATAATAATGTTCTGCAATCTATCTACAGTCATGACAACTACTCCAATTAAATTACAGACTTCAGTAACAATGAAGTCACAATTTAGACAATAATACCATTAATAATACTAGTAAAAAAATATTAATATTGTTCTTTGTTCATACATCTAGTTAAAAATGGAAAATCATCGATGAAAAAACAAATGTAAAAAGCCACCTCCAACAAAATAGAAGCATGAAAACTAGAGCTACAGTTCACTACTGCAGAAAATATGATTCTTTCTCCCATTACATTTTTATTCCTTTCTGTGACCACTGGAACCCAGCCTGAGGAGTAAAATCAAGATCAAAGACTTGGACTCCATTAGCCTAGACAGCACGTTCCCAGAAATCTAGTTATAACCTTGTTCATCTCGAAGGTTGCTTTCAAATATGAGTAGTCTGTTTCATGCAGAAGCAACAACATGTTAGGATATATAGTTAAAAGCATAGAATTGAAATAATCATATGTCATTAATGCATGGAAAATGTTCAATAGCCAGTGTTGAAACTGGACCAACCTTGAATCTTGTTCCCCATCTTTAGCATTATAAACATGTACTGTGAATACAAACATGTACCTGTACAGTACTGTATGTGCCTGGGAAAGATGATTTGAAAAGAATGGTTATTGTTTTATTTGTATTAGTATCTGTACAAAGCACTCACTATCCTAATCCAAGAAACCACTAACTATGTGAACTTAAAGATTAATTAGAAGTA